TGAAAGTTCTCTCCTTGTATAAGCAGTGTGCATGGAAGCATGTGTTGTACTTGTACAGGGTATCATCATGTTTCAGCCAATGTATCAGATGTATTTTGCTTCAACAGAATAACTGCTTATATGGCACTGTGTGGGAGATGGTGTTCCACGTGGCATTGAACTGGGATGACCTGTCAGAGCAAGGCATCAGGAAATCAGCATAGTGTTAAGTCAGACCTTATGTGTGATTGCTTATTCATTCATCTATTTATTTATTCAACAAATATTGAGTGTCTTCGATATTCTAGATATTAGCATTAGAGTAGGGAAGCAAGCAACACGCCTACCCTTGTGAAGTTTATGTTCTGTAGGGAAAGACTGTGCTAAAGAAATGTTTTAAATAAACAAGGTATCTACATAATTGTGTGTTATGAGGGCAATAAGGGCAATAAAGGAAATAAAGAAGATCCTTGTTAGAGAAGCCTTCTCTGAAGATGTCATACTTGACCTAAGATAATACCATATGCATAAGTTACATAAGTCAGCCAATGTCAAGGACAGAGTAAATACCAGGCAGAGGGATCACCAAGTACAAAGGCCCAAAGATGACAAAAGACTTGCCATGTTTGAGCAACAGAAGGGAGACCTTGAGCAAGAGAATAAGAATTGCCATTTGGGGGGGGGGCGGGGGGGCAAAGCCACACAGAACCTGCCACCATTGTTTTCCACTTGGACTACTGAAATAGCCACTGGTTGAAATTACAGTGGCCTGCACTAGTCAATGCAATGAGAGCAAGAGACTGGAAGAATTTAAGATATATTTTGCAGGTTAGAGTGACTGACAGAGCTTAATGACAATGTCTGAAATGAGGAAAAGAGAAAAACCAAGGATGCCGCATAGGTTTCTGCTTGAGCAACTGAGGAGAGATTATGGTGCCATTTTTCTGAGCCTTCAAAGGCGAATAGCTTGCCAGACCTCACTTAGCTAAGACACTGAATTCTACTCTGTGTGAACTCACTTCTTTAGGATTTTTTAAAACTCAGGTGGCAGGTGTGGTCACACCTGTAATTCTAGCAACTCAAGAGGCTAAAGCAGGAGGATCAAAAGTTCAAGGCCAGCCTCAGCAACTTAGCAAGACCCTGTCTCAAAATGAAAAATAAAAATGGTGAGATGTGGCTTAGTGGTAAAGCACCCCTGGGTTCAATCCCTTGTACCAAAAAGGAAAATATAAAAACCTCTGTGAAGTTATAAAGTTAAATTTCAAAGATCTTTTTTAGAGTTGCAAATAAATTTTCATCTATATTAAATTGTTAATCTAGAAACATTCTGATGTTCAGAATTAAGCAATATTGGCAAACCTATTGTTTGTTTTTTTTTTTGTTTTGTTTTGTTTTTTGTTTTGTTTTTTTGGTGTGTGTGTGTGTTTGATTGATTGTAAATAAATGGTACTATAATGGAATAATTCATTTACCTCAAAGCAATAGCCAGAATACTGGGGATGTTTTATCTCAGCATACAAAAAAAGTGGTTTTCTGAATTTTTTTCCAGCCTAATACTTTTCTGGAATTTCTCAGCAACAGAGCAGCTTGTAAGAAAAATTAGATTATAAACTGTGTCTTACAAATATGGACTAAGACTGCAAAGCCTGAACAACAAGGTGCTTGCATAAAGCATCCTGGTTTGTTTCTATTCTTGATATGTGGATACCCCTCATCCCCAGGTGCTCTGTAGCTTTATACAGATTATTTCTCTAGACTCACAAAGGACCCACCCAGGATATGGGCAGGGTTTTTCAGTAGAGAGGAAAATGGAGACATTTGGGTTGTATATTTCTACTATTTGGTCTCAGTCATTCTGGCCAGGTCGAAGACTCTTGCTAACATAGGTAATTCTTTACTAAAATCTGCATCATGAAATAGATCTTAACTGACCTATAGAAACAATGGCATTGTGTTCTTAACAAAAGCAGGTCATAAATCCTAAGTATATCCAATAGCATGTGAATACAGCGAAGCAGACACATTCTAAATCTCTCATCAATAAGTCCCTTATAGGACTGTGCCCCAAAACCAATTAGGGTAATAATAAGGAACAACAACAAATCAGACTCAGAAAACCTCTCATAGAAAAGGCATTTATTCAGTTTGAATTCACAGAATCTCTTCATTGGTTGGGTGCAACAGACACAGACAGGCCATGATCGATCTCACTGATTAAAAGCCTTTTGGTCACAGATCTCCAACATGTACAGATGAATTTCCTTTTGGGCAAGGAAGACAATATTTTTCCAGAAATATGATGTATTTTACATTGATACTTTGACAGTCCAGGTTGGAGATGGAGCCTTACAGGTGTGAATGCAATCAGTCACTTTGGCTGAAATATCCTGAATAACTCTTTGATGCACCCTGTGTATTTATTTGGTAGTTACATCACTTCTCAAAGATGTAAGTCTTTCTTTTGGCACTCTATGATATTTGTCTATGAATAAATGTCTATGAATGTTTAATATCAAAAAAAAAAGGCGTTTATTGTCTCACAGAACAAGACAGAGTGGTTCCAGGTTGGTTCTGCACTTCCGTGATGCCCTTAAGATTTCAGGCTCTTTACCTATTTGCTTACCAACCCCTGCTTCTTGCCATACCCCTGAAGCATGTTCCCTATCAGTGGCAGGAAAAGAGAAAGCCTTTCCCAAAAGCCCCTAGTAGACACCCCTTGAGTCCTTGTCCATGGAGCACCCAGTTTCCCTCATTTAGATCCAATAGTATTATTCTCAACTTTTCCTCTTCTCTCTCATTCCCTCCCATTCTCTATGACCTATCTATTCTGATTTAAAAATCTTCCCCCTGTGCTCACTACATTAATTCAGACCCTCATTGTCTGCTCTTACAGCTTCCAGTTTATATGTCTTCTACATTGCCACTGGAGTGTTCTTTCAAAATATAAGTCTCATTTTGTTACTATTCTGCTTAAAACCCTTCATTTATTCTTAGTCACAGATAGGATTAAATTTCAATTTTTTTTCTAGCTGCAGTAATGACTCCTTTTCCCCACCTTTAAAAATAAGAAAAAAAAAAAATACTAAAGGATGGCTCAATACAGCTAACAGATGTAGAGCTACCATGGTTGAAAAGTGGGTGGGAAAGGGGCCCATACCTCAGCCAGGTGGATCCCTTTCCTTCTGTTATGTGGAGGTCCCAGAGGCTTTCCCTGGAACAGCAGATAGAGAGAAATGCCTACTAGGCAGAAGGGTATGGACCTCAGGAGTGTCAGCCGTGCTAATATCATAGGCAAATGATATGGAATCTAAAGTCAGGGGAATGCTCACCCAGAGAGCATAGAGAGAAAGGAAGAGGGCCCTACAAAGAGAGGTTCAAAAGTTACATTGATACAATGCTCATAAACCATGTAACATCCAACAAAGCAGTGTTTCTGTTTCACATTTCAAACTTTAAGAATGTGTCTTAAAGGAAAATTTATGCTCTGATTATATCAGACAAGTTTACCCAATCAGATTCTTGAGAACAAAGTAAGGATAGTTACAGACCAAAAAAATGCAACTTGTATCAAAACCTGAGATTAACAACTTCCAGTTATTTAATTTTTGATGGGCTTTTTGTTTGTTTGGTAGTGGATATTGAACCCAGGGTTTCACATATGCTGGGAAAGAGTTCTAACACTGAGCTACATCCCCAACCCTCCAGTTTGTTTGAAATGTGCTTGTGTTTACATTTTCGTTCTTATAGCTACTTTTTAAAAGAGGTACAAAATTGCTATGATAACCAAAGAGAATAGTCTCTGTTTTCACAAGGCTTTTCATATTAGAAATCCTGAGTTACAAACATTTCATGTCTTTCCATTTCTGATCAAGGTAGTTTTGTGTTAATTAAGCTTAAGAATAAAATTTCAAACAAATACAATATCCAAATATGTTAGTTATCATAACTATTCTCCTGCTACTGAAATCAACTTGCATTTATTTTTTGTTTATTTAAGAATTTAGTGTTTTTTGTTGTTCTGTGAAGACTAAACAGCTATTTAGATGCAGTTTACATTCTTGTTATGGAATATAACCTTCTTCATGAGGCCGGAGATGTTAAAGAACAATTTTATCAAGTAAAGGAGCTGTCAATTTGAGGCAAGAGATGAATGATTGTGCACTTTACAACTTATAGACAGTTGATATCATCAGAAAGGGAGGGAGGGATGGAGGAAACTGAAGGGAACTGGTCATGGCAGGTTCCAACCAGGCCATACTGTTAACTTTACTTGTTTTCCATTCTCAATTCAAAGAGGATTGAGGAAAGCTTGTCCTTAAGTATTTTGTGTGGGCTCTAGACAAACAGACCATCAGTCTTGCTTCCCCTTTGGCTCTATCTCCGATGCTCACTCCTGTCTACCTAGATCTCTTTCCTTCCATCACCATATGCTTTTCTGCTTCTACCTTTATAGCTTGCCCTCATCATACTGGAGCTGACCTGTTTCTTGTCACCATCTTTACTGTCAGATTTTGTACATTCAGGCTCAACCTTTCCTGACGACAGCAGCTCCATTAGGGCACCACAGAGTACATTTGCCATTTCCCAGCTTTTCCTGCAACCCCACCTGAGGAGCCCACACTGCCCCCAACTTTCTCACATTTGTCTGGGACTTCTCAGAAACTGAGCACCAATCAGAAGCTGAAAATATGTACCAATTGTCTGGAGCTTCAAACTGATTTTGATTCTCTCCTAATCCTTTTAAACATGATGTTTTTAAATTAAGAGTAGCAGAGACAAAGTGATTTAGGAAAATGATAATGTTATTCTAGCCTATTTCAGTGCCACTCTAACATCGTTAAGAAAATTGTCAGATTTGATCAATGTTGTTGAAATGAACTGTGATCATTCCCAGAGTAGCTGGAGTAAAATTCTCACCCAGCAGGAGCAGTTTTAATGACCGAAGAATAGTAACCAAGAGAAGCAACTGAACTTCAATGCATTGCTGACCTCATATCCTACCTCTCTCCTCTCTTTTTCAGGCACAACATGTTTGATTGCTCTGCTGTCAGATAAAGACCTCACTGTGGCCAATGTGGGTGACTCACGAGGAGTCCTGTGTGACAAAGATGGGAATGCCATTCCCTTGTCTCATGATCACAAGCCTTACCAACTGAAGGAAAGAAAAAGGATAAAGAGAGCTGGTGAGATGTGACTACCTCTAGAGAATGTCTGCCATCTTGTTTGGTGGATAAAGGGCTTGCTTGGAGACCTCCTGGGCTAGAAATTAGTGGGTCACTACAGAGGCTGCTACTGAGGTAGCTGTGACTTTGTAATGTTTCCTCCCAAATAAATGGCCACTGAATTTGCCCCTCCTCATGACTAAATATTCCAGAAGGGAACCCCTTTTCCAGATTAATAAGATCTTTGGGCCATTGCTTCCTGCTTCATTCTTATCTCTTACCATATTCTGCTTCCCTTTAGTCATGCCAAATTACTAACCATTTCCCCAAATGACCTTTGTTTCTGATACCTCTCTGCCTTTGCAAGTGCCATTCCCACTCTTAGTGGATGACAATTACTTGTCCCTTGAGATTCAACTTCAAGATATCTTTTGGAAGCCTTCCATGTCACTGTGGCAAAGGCTCCCCCAGTCTAGGTTAGCTCTTCTGTCTTTCTACAGTATCCAAAGTGGTCCTCTTGGATCACCTTTCACAATGCATACATAGCTGTCTTATGTTCCTGACTGAGCTCTTTGAGGGCAAGAACTTAGTCTTGTTCATCTCCATCACTAAGTTCAGTGATTAGTATAATAAATATTTCAGAGCATGGTGGAAGGGTCCCTTATTAATTTGTCCAACACGCCCTCTACCCAAAAAATTTCTCATGGAGTTTACATTCTGAAATTGGCCTAGGAGTGGGGAATGGATCAGATAGATGTTAACCAAAAAAATTAATTAGTAAAAATAACCAACTTATATAGAATATTGCAAGGTGATAACTGCTATGGAGAGACATAAAGCTGGTATGGGAATGGGGAGTGTCAGGAAATTGCAGTTTTATGAAAAGTCGTCCATATTGGCTTCACTAAATTGACATTTGGACAAAGACTCCAAGGAGGATTATCAGTTGATTATTCTATTTTCAAAACTAGATTTGGGATATGGAAGGAAAGAATTCCTTTGCTCCACAGACTGACAACTTCATGACACACAAGGCAGCAGACCAACTGGAAGTGCAATGCTCAGGCACACTAGTCTCTAACCAGCATGGATCCCTGCTGTCTGCAGTTTGACTCTCAATCTCTGTAGGTCAGCTTCTGCCCAATGAGTAAATGAAGTGAATCTAATGCACATTTAAGTTTTCACAGTAGGACTCTGTACTATGGAGTCAAAAAGTATTTGCATTTTATTACAAGCCCTTGCTTCAGTGACTGCTTGAGATGCAGAATAGTTTTGAATAAAAGCTTTTGGTCAGATTTCTGTTGATGAGATGGAACAAACAATGATTTCTGACATCTATCAAGGCTTGATGAGCTCCAGGAAGTGTTAGCAAAAGGCTCTGACTTCCTTAAGTGTGAAGGTAGCATCTCCCCACAACTGCCCTCTATGAGCCTGGATTTAAGATCCAGGTGGCCCACTCTGTTGTGGGCTGATCATTCAGAAAACACTCTCAGTCCAAATTTGGTCCAAATTGGAGAGCCTTTATTAGCCATCTGGCTATGCCCACCTCTGTGCACACAAACTTTTAAGGATAAAAATCATTTCACCTTGTGCAGGAGTCTGCAACTAGGTAAAGCAAGCTTGGTTTCAGAAGCTAAATCTAACAGTTATGTGGGCTGTTACAATGTTACAAGTATCTGTCTGCAGTAGCTGGGGATTTTTTTTTTTTTTTTTTTTTTTTTTTTGGTTAGGAGTGGAGTTGACATTTGTGGTTGGGTAGAGGTTGCAGCAATTAAAGTTTCTTAACTGGTTTAACTGCACACTCTAATTAAGATAGTTCCTTTTAAGACAGATCACTTAGGCCAAGTTCTTAAGTACTTCTAACTTATAACCAAAATAGCTTAATATTACTTATCCTATAATTTTACCTTATCTTGTTTATTGATATCCTATAATCTATATGATGCTTACTGACTAAGCTAAGCCATAACAACTCTTGCATAACACAGACAAGGATGTGTACATGATACATCCGGAGCTGTCATCTTTGTATCCAGTACTCTGTTTTGAAATATCACTGCTATTTCATTCTCCCTCCTCTTCCCTGTCACACCCAACACCCCACTCCCACCCTACAGTGATTGTATATAGAAGTAAATTTGGACACCACTTCTAAGGAGATTAATCTTACCTGCTCTGTTCTTTATTTGGTCAAGGGTATATTTATAGGAGGCTTAAAGAACAAGGATTAGTTTTGTCATCATTATGTGTGTCTTCTCTGATCAGTGTTCCCACTCCTGATTAGTGTGACAATAAGCTCCAACCAGTCTGGGCCAAAAACTGTACATAATAGTCTTTCTCTATTCCTTATGCTGTTTCCAATAACAACATCAACATCAACATCAAGTGCCACTCATTTGTGTTCATTCTGTTCTAGGAGCCAAGACTAGAGCTTTATAGACTTTTTGTCTTTAACTATCTTATGAGGATGATAATCATGTCACAGCCAACAAACTGGCACTTAGAGAAGCTTGTGTGTTCAGTGACTCACAGCTAGTGAATGGGAGGACCAGAATTGAAATGAGGACTGACTCCATTGCCCATGTTCCTGCCTACTAGACCACGCTTCCTGGAATGCTCTCCTGCATCCCTGCCTATAGAAGTCCTATCCATCAGTCAAGCCCAGATTTAACACCCTTTCCCCCATGCTCATCACACCCAGAAATCATCCCTCTGTCCTCCCTCTGCTTTCAGCATTTAGCAGATACTATTCTCCTCTGAAAGAATACTACTTTGTGCTTGTAGCATTTAATGTGTGTCTTCTTATCTCTCCTGCCAGACTGTCTATTTCTTTAGAGAAAGGTCTGGATCTTGTATAATGTTGTATCCTACAAATTGCCTTCCACGGAGTGGGTATTTAATAAATACCTGAAAAAAAATATGTGAATGAACAGATTTTAGCTCCTTTAAAGAAAAATAATAGATAACATTACTGAGAGCCTATATTATTCAAGCATGGTGCTAAATGATTTATATGGAATGACTCCTTTATTTCTCACAACAATAGTAAATAATGTCCCCATTTTGCAGTGAGACCAAGGAACAGAGAGAAAATTTCATCCAAAGTCACACATAGCTACAAGTGACAGAGCCAGGGATCAAATCCAAGCAGCCTGACCTGAGCCTTCAATGTATATATTAAAATGTACTTTTCCTTAATCCCAAACCTGTTTAGGGGGGAGGGTATCAGTCAGCTTGTTCTCTACTGTGACCAAAAGACTTGACAAGAATAATTAGAAGAGGAAAAGTTTATTTGGGGGTTCATGGTTTCAGAGGTCTCAGTTCATAGACTCTGGTTCTATTTGCTATAGGCCTGAGGTGAAGCAGAACATCATGGCAGAAGAGGGGTAGAGGAAAGCAGCTTAGGACATGGCACCAGGAAGCAGAGAGAGAGAGAGAGAGAGCGCTTTTCTCACCACAGACAAAAAATATACCCTAAAGGCACACCCCAAATGATCCACCTCCTCCAGCCACATTCTGCCTGCCTGCAGTTACCATCCAGTTAATCCCTATCAGGAAATTAATACACTGATTATGTTCAGGCTCTCGTAACACAATCATTTCACTTCTAAACTTTCTTGCATTGGGTCACACATGAGCTTTGGGGAGGCACATTATATCCAAACCACAACAGTTTTGAGATGTACATAGGGGCATCCAAGGGCAGCCGTAGGCTAAATGATCATTCCAGTGATGTCTCTGGTGTCTGCTACCTGCCTTTCAGCGCTCCCTTGCCACTCTCCTCCAGTTCCCACCCTAGTGCTCTCTACTGCAGTCACTGAGCTTCCACAGGGTTAAAACTGATGCCTCTCCCTTGTGTGTACCCTACCATTATACTCTAGTTGATATATTCCTGAAGGCCTTAGAGGTTTAAGGATGAGGGCATTAGGATCTCCTGAAAGGCTGTCAAACTCCAAGCCATGCAGCAGAATGCTGCTTGGTGAGGGAAAGTACTGTGGCCCAGCTTACACATAGTAGGTCAACCTTTTGTACATGTTCACAGTGCCAGGTGTGGGAGATATCAGCTGGGCAAGCTAATGGGCTTCTTCTGTCTTTCTAGGTGGTTTCATCAGTTTCAATGGTTCCTGGAGGGTCCAGGGAATCCTGGCCATGTCTCGCTCCCTGGGGGATTATCCGCTGAAAAACCTCAATGTGGTCATTCCAGACCCAGACATCCTCACCTTTGACCTGGACAAGCTCCAGCCTGAGTTCATGATCTTGGCATCAGATGGCCTATGGGATGCCTTCAGCAATGAAGAAGCAGTCCGATTCATCAAGGAGCGCTTGGATGAACCTCACTTTGGAGCCAAAAGCATAGTATTACAGTCATTTTACAGAGGCTGCCCTGATAATATTACTGTCATGGTGGTAAAGTTCAGGAATAGCAGCAAAGCAGAAGAGCAGTGAACCCTTCGGGGTCTCAGCTGCCTTAGACTAAAGGACTTTTGACACACTGGTTTCTTTTAATGTAGTGAAAGGTGTGGGAATTGTAATTAGGATCATCCATCCCAGACACTGAATCCCCACCCCACCCCCTGCAGTGATGAACAGAGGATACCCCTGGCCAATGTAGTTGAGTGGCTGAAAAATGGTTTCTTTGTTTCCCCAACTCTTCTATGTCCAAAATATATAAATAGGTAGCTGTAGATCCACATGTATGAAGTGAACAGCAGATGCACCATGTATTCTCCTTCTTAAGATTCTTTTTAAGATCCCTTTCAGGGTCCTCCAGGCATCAGCCTTTATGTCCCCTCTGAAACCCTGGGTGGGACAAGCCTCCCTTCCTGCATAAGACAGGCCATTGTGACCTATAAGTCAGGGGCTGATGTTCAGTCAAGGGGCAAAGTAGTCCTAGAATGTGTGGTCCTCCTGAGTCCATGTTTTCTCCTGAGCAGCAGCCTGGAAACAGATTTGGAACTGTTTATGATTTGTGGGCTGCTCTTGGAGGCTAAGAAAAACTGTGAGGTTGGGCGATCAGAGGCAGTGGCTGCACAGCAGAAATAACCCTTTTCCCTTCCTCCTTTTATTAGTTAAATAGATTTTGGGTACCACCTGATGAACCTTTGTATGTTTATCCTAATCATGCATGACCTTACCTTTTGCTTACACCTTCCTGTATGTAATGGGCAATTATTAATTTCATAACACACACCACAATTTTTCATCTTAGCTAATCAAGAAATCATATTAGGGGAAATGAAAACCGCAAGTCACAATGCCATCATTCCTTCCACCTTTAAGAACACATAGAGGAAAACCATACTGAATGAGTCACAGTGCTCCTGGGAAAGCTGGCAGTTTGCACTGGAAGTGAAAGGAATGAGCAGGTGAGATTACCACCCTGAAGTGAACACCAGCTGCAAGTTTTTGTGCAGTTTTCCCCAAGCCCTAGCTTAATAGCTTTTGAGCATCTTTCAAGCAGTATTTGGAGAAGCAACAGCCTAGAACTGCATGTGTTCCTTGAAGCCAGAAACACGTTCCCAGACTTTGGAATTATGTGGTGAACTACTGGGGCATGCTTTTTCTCGCCAATGAAAAGGATGAAGCTTTTCACATTTGGTTGCAAACCTCTATCCACATTGGGTAGCCTTCCTCAGGCAAAGGCAAACGGCCCCACTTCGACTAAAGGGACTTGTGGGGGACTTGTGTGCAGTGGCAGCAAAGCTGGATGAGAATTCAAAGAAGAACCCACATCGATAAGTGGCCTAGAATTATTTGGAGGCCTGGCTTTGCTGTTCTGTTTCCTATCAATCACCAAAGTCATATTTTTTCCAGCCTCAGCATTTTATAAGTTAATTTATAGAAAATGCTGGGTTATCCTCTTTGCCTGAAGAAGGCAGCTCTAACAGCTAAACTTCTGTTGCATCCCCACCCCCGGGTGCACCTGGTTTTATTCTTTCTGAGTGGACATTAGTCCTTACGAATGCCTGTTCACTGGCCGCCTCCAACCCATGGTGCCCTACCCTCTGTTCCCCTTCAGCTGCAGAGCTTTCCTGAAGCAGTTTCCAGGAAAGAACTCAGGAGAATGATTAACTTATGCTGCGAAGAACTGCAGTTTGTCTTGATACTTCCAAGAACTTACCTATCTTTGACTGCAATGAGAATTAATAATGATTTCCCAAGATTTTGTATTCTGTATTTTCCAACATTAATGTTAGAATCTTGATTATTGTTTTTTAGCCATAGAATGTTTTAGTACAAAATATCTGCTGCCATTTTAGATTTAAGCAGTTGTTCCTTGAAAGACACTGAACATTTGGATGTGTGTATTTAGGGCAGAGGTGGGAACAGAAATGTGGGAAACAAATTATTGTGATCAGTGATGGGCATTCAGACCAGGTAGCTGAGTTTGCTTGAATATCTAGGATGTTCTTATCTGGAATCACCCACCATTTAACTGAAGGTCCAACATTTTACAGTTCACAGTATCTTTCCTTTTTATATTTTTGCTTAATGTAAAAATGCATAACAAGGGAAGTACATTGTATTGTCCAAAATGAAAATAGTGAAGCTTTGGTGAAGATGAAAAAGGTACCAAATTAGTAAATTCTGTACTTATTTATTTAAGCAAACTTTCTTAACAGATACAGTGCTGAGTGTACAAGATATGTACATGCCTTATTTAAAAAAAAAATTGAGGTTCACAAGGCATCTTCTAAATTTTGCTTTGTAGAATTAGTTCATTTCTGATTTTAACCAAATAGAGTGTAAATCTGACACTCCTTTTCTGCCTCTTTCCCCCCTACTATGGTTTGTAATTTTTTAAAGGTAGAAGTATGGACAAAATAGCGGTTTGGTTAATTGTTATGTACAAAATCAAAGTACTCTGTTCCCTTCCCCTGTCCTCCTGGAGCTCTCTCTCCCTGATCCTTTTCCAGTTGTTAGGGGTCTGAGAACAGCACATCTGGGCTGTCCTGTGGTGTACTGGCTGCCTCCCCCACTTCTCTAGAAGCTCAGGAAAGTTGGATCTAGCCTATAGGGAAATTGAGAAGTTTGCATGTAAAGCTTCCCTAAACAGCACTGCCAAAGCTTTGGAATTGTCATCTGAGACTGCCCCTACTCCCTAGTTAACCTGAGTTTGAATTGCCAATAGTCTCCACAGTGCCAAATTTTGGGATGGTTCTACAGTCTTTTGGAAATGAAGCTGGGAATGACCACATGCTCCTGAGCAAGAGGGCAATCCCAGATCCTCATTAATGCACTGCTCTGCTGCTGCTTCTTTGGCAATTTGTACTCATTAAATGGGTTAGAAATGGGAGGATGGGAAATTTTTAAAATTCAGTGTATTTGCAATTCTTTAATCATAGGAATAAACTCTACTTATGTAGAGAGCTCCAACACTAGTCCCCAAGACCTGAATTTTTTTTTAATGTGACCAACTTATACGAGGCAATTAACTCTGAGTCACTGTTCTGATGCAACATGACTATATGCATATATACTCATTACTGGCAACTAATGGCTACATTCTAATCCTTGCTGTGGATTGAAGATATTGGCCTATTGTATCTTGCATATGTGGAGTATTACATAGAGAGTGTTATATAGTAAAGGAGCATATGCAAACTGGATAATTTAAAACACCTTATTGACTTTGACATTTTGCACAAATGGTAAAAGGGACTGCATGACAGAATCCTCTCTGAAGTGGATCTAGGAAACTGATTACATTATTGGAATGAGTCACTGGAGTATGTGGAAATGCATGAGGGATTGACAAGAAGCAAAGAAGGGATCACTTTTTCCTTTGCCAGGTATACCTTGATTTTCCTTTTTTTTTTCCTTTCCTCCATGAATTGTTGGCAGATCTCTCATGCAACTATTTCAATGTAAGGCTTACATTGAAAAAGGATGAAATTTCATTGTACATTTTAAAGTATAGGGAAATATGCTTTATATAAATCTTTATTTTCCAATGATTTCAGAAATTATTTTTCCCTTCTTTCAACACATCATAAATTGATCTTCCCTTTATAGTCCCCCAGAATTACCTTTGCATGTTATACCAGCATTTCCAGCAGTTCTGGAAAAATGTAATGACTGTTAGCTACTATGCTGGGGCCTGTTTAATTGCATCTGGACTAAAACATTATCTGAATTTTTGAGATTGTTAGCTGCACACTAAAAAATAGTAGAATTCGATGTTCCCCAAAGTGTGTTCCAAAGAACCAAGTTCCAAAGATGCTCTTCCAAATATGGGGCTTCAGGGTCAAAGCAGTTTGGGAAACATGGTCTTAGAAAGTACATATAAGCTCATTGAAGCCTCTAATTTAAATATACTGCAGTGGAATGGGAAACATACCACATGCATAATTTCTGTTAGCTCTGTGTTTCCCAGATTAATTTGACCGCAGAACCTTTTTAAAATAATACCTAGTAACATTCAAGGAATACACTTTGGGAAATTCTGATATATTGAAATGTGTTTTCTCATTCCAATAACATTCAAGGAATACACTTTGGGAAATTCTGATATATTGAAATATGCTTTCTCATTCACCATTACTCTTTATAGTAGCAGTACAGTTTGCAATTTAGTAGCACTAATCCTTTCATGGAAGAGGCTGATTAAATAGAAACAGTTTAAAAATAGTCTTATTTAATGTGACGACTAGCACCTCATATTGATAGCAGAAGTCTAACAAGTTTTCCCTCATGTGAATAACAAGTAAGAGCTTTACCTTAGATAGGAAGTTCTCAAGTTCATTCCAAGATCTTTCAGTGCTTTTTTGCAGTTATATTTGCTCTCCAGGTTGAATAAATATTTTTATGTTTCATCACTATATGTGATAGTTTAAAATATAGAGAAAATAATAGAACAAGAAAAAGTTCATGTTTGATTTTAACTCACTTTTGAAATTTTAACTCAATTTTAAAAATTAACTACATTGAATAATAATGGAAGTGCAAACTTAACACCTGTTTACTCTTTCCTCTATTCTCTCTAGATTCAATGAAATAATTTAAAATCAACTGGAGCTCCTAGGTCCTAAATTTCTGTTATATGTCATCCTACCTTTTATATTTTATATATATATATATATATATATATATATATATATATATATTAAGTTTAGCAAGTTATCTCTTGCCTAACATGTAAGGTTTGATCATAGTTCCATAATAGTCACTTTCAGTTTGGGCAGTTTGTTTGGGATGCCATTACAGATAACCCCCCAATAATGGATGAAACGTGGTACAGAGTGAATTTAGGGTAAAATCAGTAATTTAAAATTACATCCAATATTTAGGAATCTGCCCACTCTTTGAACCTATCCAAAATCTAAAGGTAGGATCCCTTACTTTTAGGTGGCATATTGCAAAGGGCAAGGGACAGTCAGTACCATGAGGCTTCCGTTGTTTCTGAATATGTTTTCTAATATGTAAATTTTTGCTGATTCCTAGTAATGTTAATGCTCTGTCCATTATTCTTTTTATAACTGTTAAGCTACAAACTATTACACTGAAGGTTGATTATGATAATTTTTACATGTTTAGTAATAACCACACCATCATATGTACAATCACTTTAATAAATCCAACTTAAAGACTTTGAGGAGAACACGTAGTAACTGTTCATTTTGAAAAATCATCATAGGCATTTTCACTATCTAAAACTTCAATGAAAACAAGCATGAAGCAAAGGAATAGGTTGTATTTAAAGATGCACAGAGCTTCATTTATTCAAGGAGTTTTATAATCTGGTATTATTTAACTATAAAATCCTGCCTGCCATTTGCTAATTTGTGTGTGTGTGTGTGTGTGTGTACTGGGAATTGAACCCAGGGCCTTGCACTTGTTAGGTAAGTACTCTACCACTGAGCTATACCCCTAGCCTTTTTTATTTTTATTTTTAAGACATGGTCTCAGTAAATTGCACAGACTGGTCTTGAACTTGTGTTCCTCCTACCACAGCCTCTCCAGAAGGTGGGATTACAGGCATCCACCACTGTGCCTAGCCACATTAATTCTAGAAACCTCCAAGACCAGCATTCCTAGCTCTGAGCACAAGCAGAATCTTATAAAAGCCCTGGTGGCTGATTGTGGGGTAGGAGTTAGGGGATGAGGAGTAGCAGGAAAATTGGCCTGGGTCACTTGCTACCTCTACAGGAGCAAGACTGAATTAGCTACACATTCTCTTGTCACCTTCTAGCATGAGTCAATCCAGAAATTAATGTGATGAATTACTTCAAAATATTTATATTTTAATTAGATAAATCAATATTTTAAATGTGTTCATGCAGAAGCAAAGGTAGAAATAATGGTCAAGGAATTGGGAGAGGATGGCCTTTGGGATAACCAGATATGAAAAATATAAAAGTAGGTAATCAGAGATGTAAATTACCAGGCTTTTCCCATATATAGGATGTGTTCAGTAGTGATTCCTGACATCTGCACATAGATCAGTAGGATACAATTGTACTTTTTAAAACATCAATATTCTAAAAAGGAAGACAGGTTTTTTTTTTTTCAATAATGTAAAGTGGTAAAATTATAGACCCTATTCCATTGTTTTCCCCAACAAAAACAGATATGGTGTCATTTATTGCTGTTGTAAACACCTTTACTGTCCTTTCCAAATCTTGGACATGCTTTTATCCTGAATCCTTAGAATTTCTGCATTTGTGAAAAGGAACTACTCCTTTTTAGAATTTTAAAAGATACTAAATAGTTGGCCTTTTATTTTAGATTGTCTGAATTAAACTGAAATCAAATAAACACAGTCATGGTCACAACTGAGAGTGTTTTAACATAGTGGTAATTTTCCAAATGCCAACACGAATACTAGTGAGTACCACTTTATAACAGACAATTTCATGAAAATGAACCACATGATAATTTAATGTTCTTGCTTCGTATAATGAAAAGGGTCATCTTGCTCATATAATTTTTTTTACAAAAGTAACCCTGCAGAAATGGTGCTTTAGACATCTCTAACTCAAGAAAATGGTATCTCTTGAATACATTTTAAATTCTCTTCCTCAGAGTGTATGAAAGAAAAAATGGTGACTGCTGAGTATAATTATGGAAAGATAAATTTACTACATGGAGAAAACCTAGAATCTGCCTTGGGACATTAACCAAGAATATTTTTCTTATTTAGACTCCAAGGCTATAACCAAAAAGGCTTTATGTATTTATTATCTTGATTATCCTTTTATCTCAGGCATATATTCAGAAAGAATAATAGATGCAACAATGGAAAAACCCATAACTTTTTTTTCTATTATAAAAAGCAGTCTTTGCCCTTTTTCATTTATTTGAAATTCAGTTTCACATTGAAACATTAACATCTACCACATTATCTTTCATTTTAGTCTTCAATTACTAAAATAAATAATTTTGATTTATAGCACTTACACAACTTCGATTCAGATCATAAAGTTGAAATCTATTTAGTGACATCTCAACATTCCTTTGGGCAACCAGGAAAAAGAGAACAAAAAGAAATTTTAATAAGTTTGGAAGAATGATTGTTCTGACAAGCCTGGAAAATGGTCATTAATCTGTTAATTCCAGGAGACCCCAAAGTGAACTCTGTTCATTTACATAATCTCTATAAGCAAACTGTATGAGGTTTTTGAATACATATAAGCATCACTGCATTTATAAATATATCTACCTTATGAACAGATTTCACTGGGAAAGTCACTATTTTTAACTACAAGAAAGTCTGCTTATATATTTTATTATTTCCTTTGTTTTATTTTTCTGAGCACAGACCTTGAGCCAGGCAATGACTAAATGAATGTATCCAGTGGTGACCACTCAGGTGCCACCATTGCCTTCTTGTGGTTTACAGTCTATTGGGGGCCCCTTACAGATATTAAAACACTTAGTATTGGCTGAATGGGGTGAAAAACATATTTCATGATTTTCTCCAATGGGCTGAAATTCATAAAACTAGGACAGAACTAGAATTTTTTTTCTGCATGTAATAATAAATGGTAAGAGATTGGTAAATATCTTGCCCACAGCCAAGCACACTGCATTAATTATTCTGTTACTAGATCATCTGCTTTCCCAAGGATGGAGTTGGGAGTTGAGAGACAATGGAGGCTTCGGGGACCAAGAAAGAGACTGTCCCAGTGTAGGGACAATAAAACCTATGAGTGGTAATTTCTGATAACCTTATTTTACATTTTTAATGACTGGGTATCCTAAATGTCCCTCTCCCCAATTCTTTCTCTATTACTTCTGCTTTTGCTTCTGTGTGAATACTTTTTTCCTTTCTTTTTCATTTTATTTTATCTTATTTATTTAGTTTTTGGTACCAGGGATTGCACTCAGGGGCACTTGACCACTGAGTCATATCCCCAGCCCTATTTTGTGTTTTATTTAGAGACAGGGTCTCACTGAGTTTCGTAGTGCCTAGATTTTTTTGAGGCTGGCTTTGAACTTGAAATCCTCCTATCTCAGCCTCCCAAGCTGCTGGGATTACAGGCATGCAGCACCAGCTATATTAATACATTTTAAATTAGGAATTATCCAATTAAAATATAAATGTTTTGAGATAATTAATGATAGCACATTTAACTTTTTAACTGACTTATGACAGAAGGTGATGAGAGAATGTGTGTCCCCAGAAGCCTTCACCCTAATGGGACAGCAGCTATGCATGGGCTCCACGAGTCTAGTCAAACAGGCTGTCTATTCCTCTGTAAAAGAACAGGAGAAAATGGAACATCTCTCCATGGCCCATTTTTTTTTTTAATTTTTTTTTTAAAGAGAGAGGGAGAGAGAGAGAGAATTTTTTTTTTTTTAATATTTATTTTTTAGTTCTCGGCGGACACAACATCTTTGTTTGTATGTGGTGCTGAGGATCGAACCCGGGCCGCACGCATGCCAGGCGAGCGCGCTACCGCTTGAGCCACATCCCCAGCCCCTCCATGGCCCATTTTTATTTTTGTTCCCAAGAGTATAAAGTGTAACACTCTCATGCCTCAAAAGAGAACCCAGAACTGAAATTATTTATCATTACTATTCCTGAGTATAAGGAATTATACAGAAAATTAACATACTTCAGGAGTACAAACAGAAGACTAAAGCCAGACTTTTTTTAATCATAAATTTGGTATTCATAGTTACCTTACACATTCTAAGAACTGGGCATGGAATTTTAATTTTGAATTTTTGAGCAAAAATAACATCTATTTTCTGTATGGAGAAAAACTAAAATTCTAAATATAAGACTTTTATTTTATAACCACGGAAGTTATGACCTCTTTCTAAATGCTTGGCCTGCTAGCCATCTTCCCTAGACCATGAGAATTCTATTGAAATAGAATGATTTTTTCCTCTATAGATAGTGAATGGTAAGAAATGAGACTATCTCATTGTGATCAGAAATTGACTTTTTGCTGTTATTTTGTTTTTAATCATGAGAACTTGTAAAAGAAAATTCAAATTAATACAAACCAACTTCTGATTTGATAAATTAAAATCACAGGTGGAGCCGGATGTGGTGGTGTGCACCTGTAATCCCAGCGAATCTGGAGGCTGAGACTGGATGATGTCAAGTTCAGGGCCAGCCTCAGCAACTCAACAAGGCCTAAGCAACTTCATGACAACCTGCCTCCAAAAAAGGGTTAGGGGGGCTGCTGGGGATGTGACTCAGTGACCTTGAGTTCAATCCCCAATACCAAGCAACAACAAAAAAACCTATAGGTGGAGTCTAGTTATTAAGAAAGGAAAGGGGGAAAAAAGGCAGGATTGGGAGAGAATGGAAAAAAAAATACCATAACTGAACTGTATTTTTCATGAATGGTACCATAGTTCAAAAGTTCTGATTTCTTATTCTGCTGAATTTAAATATAGTAACTTTGTTTAAGCTTTTATTTATACTTATTTCATCATTAAATTTTTTTCCTTCAGCATTTTCTTGCTACTTTAAAAATCACAAGGGCCTGTTTGTTTATAAAAAGGTACCAGGATTCACAATTTATTAGCAATGTTTTCTTTTAGGAATCTTCAAATTATATTTGATAAATAAATCACAAGTCTAAATCTCAGGTCAAATGACTCTTACATCAATCAGGCTTTCTGGTAAGTTCCTTTTTAAAAACCATTCATAATAAATACAACAAAATCTTGACAAAACTTCATTACTCTTGGTCCTCTTCTTTTTTTATTGGTAATATTTTACACTTGTCTCTTAGAGTCATTTGAAACAAAGTTGCAATGTCAGTTTGGTGGAGCATTATCTGCAGTTGATCTCAGAGTGCATGGCATCCGTGGTCACTCAAAATGCATGGCACGTCATTCAGGTCCCTTTGATGTGTGCTGGGGTACAGTTAGCATTGTAGAGACTAATGTGTTCATGCAATCACTAATTCTATATTGTTGTATACAAAATGAACAGCTAAAATTTCACCCTTACAACAAAAATAAATTAAAGCAAAAATAAACACATTAAAGTTATTAAGCTTTACACACTGGTCTGTTGATACTTTTTTCCTTTGATTAAGCTCATTTTCCATTCTAATGTCTCCTCTGGAATTTTACAAGTTTGAATTGAAGTAACTGTTGTGTTGGGGTTCTACATAGAAAACAGAAAACCAATTTATGGTCAGAAGACAAGGCAAAAATATAAAAGCAGGAGATTTGGAACAAAAGAAGCCTCACTCTTTCAAAAACAAGGTAATTTTTAAAATGCATACAAATGTATGCAACAAAAATATTCCTTATTGGCACAGAACAACTTTTGCCCAGTTTGTAATCAGTATTAGGTAACAAGGGTCAAATTAGCTATACATGCATGTAAATTCCAGTAACATGACCTGACACCTTTGAGAAAGTATTCAAAATTGAATATCCATCTGCAAAGGTTTTCCCAAGATGCAGGAAGTAACACTGAAATTTGGATGCAGAGTGAAATAAAGGTATACTTACACATACACAGACACACATGTAATCCTATTTTAGGTATTCCAAAAATGAAATGCTCAAAAGTGAACAGGGTCTAGGATCTTACTGAAGAACAAGTCAATCATCAGACTGCTAGAATTGGGTATAACAATGCAGGAAAAAAAAATGTGGCCTTTGATTCTTTGCTTCATTTTCATTAAAAATTATAATATTTGATACCCAGAATGAAAACTGCTTCCCTCTAATCCTGAGCTTTCACCTTTCTCTAGGTAGAAAATTTTTAACATAGATATGAAGAGTATGATTAGAGATTTTTGTCATTCAAGTTAGAATAAATATTATAGACTCCAATACCAGCCACAGACCCCACCCCCCAAAAAAGGAATTAAGAGTCATATTCTACTTTCACTTATAGTCATATTTTTTTCTCTTTCTCTGTCCCTATATCTATCTCTCCCTCTTTCCCTTCCTCTCTTTGCTTTACTTTAGAAATATAATAGTGATAATTTACGTGTGTGTGTGTGGTAATGCAATAGGAATTTGGGTATTAAGAAATGGTTTTCTCTTCCAACTATGACGAATTGGCTGGTATTGTGTTAAGTAGGCCAAGCACTGTGAGCAACTGTAAAATGACAAAATGTATTAGGCAACTGGTTCAAGTGGTGAGATAGCAGTCCTTGGGAGAAGGAATCATAAATTGTCCCATGGTCACCTTGGCTATCTGTGCAGGGACAGCTCCCTGGTGTGGCAGACAAACTGATTCCAAGCAGAGCCTGACTGTCCTGAGGACATGGAAATCAGATTCAGGGGCAAGTGAAGCAACTAGAATCTGTGAAGAGGTATGGAGGAGGAATCTCAAAAGTTCATGTATGGGTTCCTCGTGAGTCCTTAACTGAGGGCTTTCCTCTCTCTGTGCTCAGGGTCAGACTATCCAAGGCTTAACAGAAAGTGGCTGCTAGGAGATGGAGAAAAGAATAGAAATACTAGAGGTTGAACATTGCTAGGGAATAACCGGTTCTGACCAAAGCAGAGTGGAAAGACCTCATTAACACATAGTTAACAACCTAGTGTCACTAAGACACTTTGAAAGGCTGTGCCTTAGGAGTAAGGACCACTGTCAAGGAATAAGGCCCACTACATACCTACCCCAACTGATTCTAAAAACAAGTGCTGACAAGACTCACAGGGAGAAAGAATTGGAAAGTTGAAGCTGGGTGTGGTGGCCACTTGGGAGGTTGAAGCAGGAGGATCACAAGTTCAAAGCCAGCTTCAGCAACTTAGCAAGACACTGTCTCAAAATTTTAAAAAGGGAATGGGGATATGATTCAGTGATTAAGCACTCCTAGGTTCAATTCTTAGTATCAAAGAAAGGAAAAGAAGAGCAATTTAGAGGGCTTTGGGAAACTCCTTAGCCTTTCACTACCTGGGTTGAACAAACTATAACCTCCCTAGATCCCAAACCCCAAGGTCACAATGGTAGCTAAAAACTAAACTCCTTCCTAAAACAAAAATCAAACTTCTCCAGAGGAAGATATTAGAATCCAAAATATTTACACATTTGCAAAGTACTACTCCCATTGTCCAGGATAATATACCATGAAGAAATTAACTGACATGCGAGGCTTGGTGGCACACACCTATAATCCCAGATACTCAAGGCCAACTTGGACAACTTGGACCTTGTCTCAAAATAAAAAAATAAAAAGAGCTGGGGATGTAGTTCAGTGGTAAAGCAACTTAGGTTTCATCCCTCCCCTTCACCTACCCCCCCACACACACACAAAGAAAGAAACAAAAAGAAATTATCAGACATGTAAAGAAATAGGAAAATGTGATCAATAGTTAAGAAAAAACATGAGTCTGTCCTGAGAGTCCTACAAATTGAAACTTGTAGACTCTATGACAGTCCTAATAAGCATATTCAAAAAGGTAAAGGCAACTATAGTCTTAGAAAATAAAGAATTTCAGCAGAGAAATGGAAAACTAAAAATGAAAATTCTGGAACATAAAAATAACTGAAATGAAAAATTCACTGGATGGGTTTAAAAGAACTTAAAAATAGCAAAAATAGGGGTCAGCAAACTTGAGCAATATAAATTACCCAATCTGAAAGAAAGATAAGAAAAAAGAATGAAGGAAAATTAACAGAATGTCAGGGACTTGTAGGATACTATAAAATAAGACACATGTTGTTCAAATATCAGAAACAGAGTAAGAATAGGGCAGAAAAATGTTTAAAGAAATAATGACCATACAGTTCTCAAATTTTACAAAAAAAAAAAAAAAAACATCAATGTGCAGAATCAAGAAAATCAGCAAAGCTACAGGGAAGCTAAATATAAAAAAGCACACCCTGGGGGCTGGGCTTGTGGCTCAGTGATAGAGCGCTTGCCTGGCATGTGAGACCCTGGGTTCTATCCTCATCACCACATATAAATAAATAAAATAAAAGATTCATTGACAACTAAAAATTTTTTTTTTAAAAAAAGCACACCCTGCAATGAATCATTTTGTCCCCAAATATCAGCTATATAGATGTTGAGAAACCCTGCCCTAAAGCAGTTAAAATAATAATAATAATAACAATAATAATAATATAGAAAGCAAAAGAGGAAATTAAATGAAAAGCTAATGAATAATTAACCCAAAAGAAGGCAAGAAAGAGCCTGTTGTGTTGGTGCATGCCTGTAATCCCAGTGGCTTGGGAGGCTGAGGCCGGAGAATCAAGGGTCCAAAGTCAGCCTCAGCATACTATGTGTACATACTATGCGGTTAGTTTACAGTGATTTTCCCTCCAGTTTCTGGAACATAGTATCTTCATGACTTGGACCGGATCAGCCATGCTATCAATTATTAAACACTAAAACTTAGAGTAATGTCAATTATGTAGTACATCACATTAATAGTGAAGGAAAAAATCAATGTGATCATTTGATGCAGAAAAAGCATTTGACAAAATCTAATACCTTTCCATAATTAAAAAAGACACACACACACACACACACACACCAAAGAAAAAAGGAAACTTCCTCAACCTGATGAAGGGTGTTTATGAAAAAATCTAACATCCTATTGGTTAAAAGTTTCAGCCACGGAAATTAGGCAAGAAAAAAATTTTTAAAGTATCCACTTGAGAAAGAAGAAAACCTATCTATTTGCAGATGGCAAGATCTTGCATATAGAAAATGCTAAGCAGGTTATGGCAGTGAACTCCTGTTGGGAGGCTATATGGGAGGCTGAGACTGGAAGACCACAAGGCCAGCTTGGTCAATTTAGTGAGACCATGTCTGAAAATAAAAAGAAGGGCTGGGAATGTGGCTCAGTGGTAGAGTGCTTGCCAACCATACATCATGCCCTGTGTTTGATTTGATCCCCACTACCAAACACAATCTTTCCCCCCATACACCCATGTGCGTGCACGCGCGTGCATACACACACACACACACACAATCCTAAAGAATACACACATGTGCACACAATTAAAAATAATAATAAATAAGTTCCCTTTCTATTTTGTGGAATCATTTGAGGTGCACTTGGTATAATCCTGGCTGGTGAGTTTTCTATCTTCTCATCTTCAGCCCTTCCCAGGAAGCCAGCCAGGTTAGTTGCTGTGATCATTACTGTTGCCACATTTTAAGGATGAGAGAAATGCTGAGTGTCTTGCCCAATGTCAAAGAGCCAGACAGTGTTGGCTCCTGAGCTTGGGTCTCCAGAGAGCAATGTTCTTCCCTTCCAGGAGGCATTGGTCTCAGAGCCTCCCCACACCCTAGGAAACACGCTTCTCTGAACCTAGAACAGACAGAGCAGCCATAAAAAGCAGCTAAAAATAGTTATAAAGATTAAACAATCATGGGGGGGGGGTCATAGCACTTCCAACAGGGAAATGAGTGAGGGCTCAGGCCTGAGGCCTCCACGTGGGGCTCAAACCCTGACATCATTGGATGGGATGGGGCCTCCTGCTGCAGCACTGGGCGGATGGGAAGATAAACACAGAGTCAGTGCATAGGGGCTGTCCCTAAACTTCACCCCGCAGCTCACAGTCAAGTCCCTGGACCCCTGGAAGCAGGACAAAGGAGAGGGCTGGCACCACAGGGTCCTTGGTGGGCATTGAGGGTTACCCACCCCACCGCACTCCTGATGCTCCACTCCATATGTTTCACATGGGACTTCAAGTAAAATTTCCAATTAAAAAAAAAAATCTCCTTTAAAACATTATAAACTACTGGACTAGTCTCAGGCCTCATTAACAGCTAAGGAAACTGAAGCCCAGGAAGGTAAGGGACTGGCCCAAGGCCAACCAGCTAGTTAGCAGTGCAGTCTTTTCTTTTTGTCTATCCAGGGACACCTGGGTGTGCTCTGAAGCCCTGTGACTTGGGCCCTGCACCTTCTTGCTCCTTGAGCTGCAATTGTTTCAGCTTCAGGGCCAGCCCCACCTCAGGGGCCTCCTCCAACAAATGTGCAAACCACAGACACCCCTTTCCCAATGCACACCTACTACTCCTCACTTCCTAGATAGCTGCAGCCTTGCCATTCTCTGGGGGGCCCTGCCCATGTGAGTCAAAATCCATACTTTTAGAGTTGGGCCCAGGGAGTTCTGTGGGATGGTGTGCTGGGGAGTTTCATGGGGAGCACAGGGCCTCCATTGGATCCCATTCAGTCCCTCCTCCCTCTGGAGCCACACAGCTTCTGACATGTACCTGGGGAGCAACAGGCCAAATGTAAGGAATCACTACCCACCTTAGGCTGGTCTCCTGACAACCCTCACCCCTCAGCTTGGAAAGCACAGAGCCCAGTGTTCTCATCCAGGAGTCTCATCCAGGCTGCAGTTCCCCTCTACCTCATTTCTTGGGGTAAGAACCTAGAAAGGAAAGAAGAGGGTAGTTCCCAGGGGTTCCCAGAGTGCCCTGGAGAAAACCCCAAAGGAAAGTAACAGTGAGTGTCAGGGCCTGGGTGCTGGTGTAAGAGACCAAGGAAGAGGATCCAGCTTCACCCCACCCCACCAGCCCCAGGGTCCACCACTGGAGCCTCTGGTTTACCAATTTACTTGGGTCCCAGGGGTGCACAGAGGGTGATGTAACAGTTCCTGGCAGAGCCCTGGTCTAAGGGGTTGTCCCCCTGAAGGAACTGTCCCTGGAGAGTGATGGGGATGGGAAGAGGAGCTCAGAACCAGCAGGACTGGGCACATCCAACTCCCAATGACTGTCCCTAAGTTGGCCAGTTAGCCAGGACTCAACCCAGGTCTGGAGCAAAACTCCAAGTCTAGGGAAACCCAAGAGTGACCCTGGGCCTCCTGCCTTCTCAAGCTCCTAGGAAGTGTGTCCTCCCTCAACCCACTTGTGATCAGCTCTCCCCAGACACTGCTGACACTGCACCCACCCCTCCTGCTGTAGGGGGCCACCACTGAGCTATTTGCATAGCCTCTACTCAGCCTTGAAGCCAAAGAGACTTTGGTCTGGCATTGCAAGCTATTTTTGGCTTATTATGCAAAGCATGTGACCTCAGTCTTCCCTTGGCTTTAGAGGCTGCTCTGTAGCTCCACCCACAGGGCTTGGACAGCCCACCCCCTGCCTTATTTGGTGAAGAATATTGTATGGAGAAGCCTTTGTGTATCCTCCACATAAAAATAAATACGTGGGCTCACTCTCTCTCTCCTTCCAGTGTGGATGCAGGACCCTTAAGGTCACAGAGCCGTCCTGCTCTCGCATTTCAAAATTATTTCTGGCATATGATTTTTCGCTGTATTTTGCAGCCAGCTCACTACACATAGGGGAACACAGCATATCTTGTCTGCGTAGGCCTGGGGCAAGATCCTGCCTTCTCAGGGCTCCCTCATCACCTTGTACCTCCTTTTGTAGCATGCCTGTCCTGTCTCCACTGGCCACACATGTCCCCCCATGTCCTCCTTCTAGATACCATATAATATCTTCCTTATGCTACTTCACAACTGCTCCAAAGACACCCACTCCCAATTAATTCACTTTCCCACCTCTCATTTTCTTCTAAAAATGTGCCTTCATTAAATTTCACTATCAGGGAGGGCAGTAGCAGAGGGGATGCCCAATCATATTTCCTAGTCAACAATCATATGGCACAGGAAAATCTGGGCTGAAGGCCCTCAGTGTCGGCAGCTGCCCTGGATGCAGATGCCTTTAAGTCCTGATGCACCAGGTTCTGACCAATTATTGTTTCAGCCTGGCATGGCAATACCAGGTCCCAATAATTTGGGTGTTACTCCACTCGGATAATGAGGCGTGGTTCCAGGTGTAGGCATCACCCATAGGGGGTTAAGTTACACTCACAGCCATACACTCACATTAGGAGTGCAGTAAGTAATCCTACCCCTTGCCTCATTTGAATGGCTTCTCCCCAATAAAGGGGTTCAACTCTTGCTCCTCACTCTCTTTCTTGCCTGCCTTGCCCCTCTTGTGGGAGCTGCAGTTGAAGAGCAGTCACTGTACCCAAAGAAAAGGTACTTTTCTGCATCTGTGTCTTTATTTATTCCCCAAATTCACTTGGAGTGACCCTGACTTGTTTAGTCATGTATGGCGACACTTCAATACACAAAGCAGTAAAGGATTGGGTATGCAGCTTCAGTGGTAAAACACCCCTGGGTTCAATCCCTAGTACCAGAAAAAAATCAAGTAATTAACAGCAGAGCATTAAAAAAAATGCAGAATTTTTAAATTTGGAGAAAGAATTTTTGATTAGGTGTTATAAAGTATAGAAAATGTTGATTGTACATCTGGTATAGAAAATCCTTAAAGGAATGATAATGAATAAATTTTTAAGAACTGAGCAGTAAATTTGAATACTTTCCTTTCCCCACATGGAATCCTGTCAGACACAAATAGGATCCAGTAGCTCTGAAGCACCCAGATCAGCTTCTCTCACTAGCTCCACCCCTGGGGTTCTGGCTCCAGTTCTGTGTCTCAAACACCCTCACATTCCACAGGACCAAAATTAAATGGCATCTTCTTCTTGCCTCATCTTCTGCCCAACTTCCTGCTGCCTTTCCTTCTTCCTCTTATGCCAGGGGGATCAGGGCTTCAGGCTTATCTCTATTCCTTTCTCTATTTCCTTCTATCCACAAATGATTCTTTTGTTGTTGTTGTTGTTTCCCTTCTTTATTCAGATTTCTTTTCTTTGTGTGCTGAGGACTGAAGAACCCAGGGTCTTGCACATGCTAAGCACACACTCTACCACTCAGATACAGCCCCAGCCAGAAATATTTCAGGGCATCAAAGATGCCTCAGTCAAGCCGGGCATAGTGGCACACATCTGAAATCACAGAGACTTGGAAGGCAAGTTCAAGACCAGCCTAAGCAATTTAGTGAGGCCCTGTTTTAAAATAAAAAATAGAAAGGACTGGGGATATAGCTCAGTGTTAAAGTGTCCCTGGATTCAATTAGCAAAAAAGATAAAGTCTTGTCATTGCAATGGAGGTTAAAAGCACACTGCAAAGAGTATGGCCAGCCTACTTTTAGGGTCGTGAGGCCTGCAGCAACACAAGGCCCTGAGCACTGTGTGGAGTGGCCAGGGTAGCAAAAAAAGAGGGTATCATGGGAAAAGAGTAGGCAATGCAGCTCATAGCAGCCAGGTACATGCAGAGGAGAAGCCGAGAGAATTAAGTGTTAAGCATGCAAGAGGGCTATCTCAGCTACTTCCAGTTTCAGAGGCTGTGTCTAGTCCAGAAAGAGTAGCCTGAAAACTGTCTGCTGGCTTTGGCCTTGTTGAGAGCATCATCATGACAGCAAAGGCAAGGGCTGGAGCTGAGCTGACAGGGGCCAGGAAGTGAAGGGTTGTAGCTTTTGAGCATGGTCAACTCTTTCATGGAATAAGGCACAGAGGGTACAACAGGTGGAGTGGAGGCTTGGAACACTGAGGGCGGGCCTTGGCTTTTAAGATGAGGAACAAAAATGTGTACATGACTATGGGAAGAAATGGTAGTAATAGTAACAACAGCACATAGGGCACTTTCTGGTACCAGCCACTGTTCTATGTATTTTTTGTGAATTAACCCACATTTCCCTCTTCTACCAGTAGGGAAACTCAGGGCCCAGGTGGTTAAGTAGCATAGCCCAGGTCTCCCTGCTGGTGTGTTGTAGAGCTGTGATTTGGACTTATGTGGTCTGGCTCTAGAGTCCTTGCTACCAACTACCAAGCAAGTGGCTCCAGGAGAAGTTGCAGGGAGGAACGGAGTAGGGAGGGAATGACAAGTAATGGACAGGAGCCCTGTCTGGTAAATCCCAGAGGGCAGACCACATTTCAGTCCCCTGAGACTGGGGATCCTGGACTCGGAGGGCCTTATTCTGAGCAGAGGAAGAAGGACAATGGCCTATGGCGTGACCTGGGGCTGGAAGAACCACAGGATGGATGGAGGGAAAAATTCTGACAGCAAAATTAAATGATGGAGTGAAGCTGGAGAGAGGAGAAGACAGGCAGACCACAGGGCTGATGGATAAGGGCCAAGCACAGAAGTCACAGGTGGGAGGGGAACCAGATATGGCAGTGGTGGGGTGGTGACTAAAAGGATGGGAGGTGATGAGCAGAGAGGCTCCTCTGTCTGTTCAGCTGTCTCAGGGTCTGCAGCTTCCCCCTCCCCCATTGGTGCTGCCCACCAGTCTTCCTGAAAGAGCCTTTAGCCAAGTGATTGTCATACTAAAGGAATCCCAGGGCAATTGGGATTGGAAAGAAGGTAATGAAACTGTTTATCACATAATTTTCCATGTAGAATGAACAACAACGCTCAGTGGTAGAGCACCCCGATTCAATCCCCAGTACTGGAGAAACAACAACACTGAGATGCTAAGAAGAAAATGAGGTAACAAGCCATAGATTGTAAGAAAAGATTCACAAAACATAATCTGAATCCAGTATAAAGAACTCTTAAAACTTAGTAAGGAAACAAGCCATTTTTTTTAAATGGGCAAAAGATTGAAGCAAACACTTTACCAAAGACATACCCATGGCCCAAAAGACATGCAAATATGCTCAACATCATTACTCATTAGGAAAACACAACCTGGAGCCTTAATGAGATGCCACTACTCATTTATTAGGCTACAATGAAAAGAGAAAACAAAATAACAAATGACAGTGTCAAATGTCGGTGAGGATGTGGAGCAACTGGAATTCTCATGTATTGCTGGTAGAAATTAGGAATGGTTTTGGAAGACAAATTTGGAAATATCCTATAAAGTTCCACACTTTATAGGAAAAGTGACTCAGCAATGCCACCCTTAAGAATTTACCCAACAGAAAAGAAAACTTAATGTTCACATGCCTGTACACCAATGTCTGTAGCAGTTTTATTTATAACTGTGAAAAACTAGCTAGGCACAGTGGCCCATGCCTGAATGCTAGCAGGTCAGGAGGCCGAGGCTGGAGAATTGCAAGTTCAAAGCCAGCCTTAGCAACTTAGCGAGGCCCTAAGCAACTTAATGAGACCCTGACTCAAAAAGAAAAAAAAAAAAAGTTAAAGAAAAACTGAAAGGGGCATGGGGAACTGGGGATGTATCTCAGTGATTAAGCGCCCCTGTATTCAATCCCTGGTACAAACAAAACAAAAACCCTGAGAAAAACTAGATACAATGAACAATCCTTCAATTGGTGAATGTATAAATAATCTGTAGGGCCTCCATACAATACTACACAGCAGTAAAAGGAAATAAACTACTGATGGGAACCACACAAGGATGAATCTCAAATGAAGCCAGATTAAAAAGGCAAAGAATCCATTTATACTTGATTTTGGAAAAAGAAAAACCAGAAGGACATAAGGAAAGAACTTGACAACAGAAGATGATGAAAGGATTTTCTGAGGCAATGAAACTGGTTTAACCTTGATCATGGTGGAGAGTGCAGGATGGTATCCATTGGTCAGAATCCTTAACCACAGACAAAAAAAAAAAAAAATGGTGAATATCACTGTGTGTAAATTATTCTTCAATAAACGAATTAAAAAAAAATCCTACCATGGCTCCCAGGTTTTTACTTCATACCAACTAAATTCCATGCTTGACTTTCTGGGCCTTTTAAATCTTGACCCCTCCATGGGGTTACCTTCATTGCCTATGCCACCTCATGCTTGAATTAGAGCCATATCCTCATCATTCCCTTAACATTCTACTTTCTGGGTTTCTATGCCTTTTTGCACAGGTGTGCCTCTCACAGGCAATGCCCTCTTGTCCTCTGGCTTCTCCACAATCACACCAGGACGTGTAGGAGTGACATGTCCTATTCTACAATGCAGGCCTCACCAAACTCTCAGTTTCTTCCAGTGTGCTACACCACTCAGAACTGTCCCTCTCAGAATGTGCCTGGGTGTCTGCGGGTGTTATTCTGATCTCAGGTTGCTTATCAACACAAGCGCAGGATGTACTTACTCACCTCTATACCCATCTCTCAAATAACACGCAGCCCAGCACACAGTAGGCTCTGGAAGCAAAGCACCCAGGAGGGAGAATGACCAGCGAGCTCCAGGAGGAGGAGAGATCTGAGCTGCATCTTAAGAGATGGGTCTGGAAGGACTAATGAGGCACCCAACATCAAGGCCAAGGGCAGTGGAGAAAGCACAGGTGGCAGAGGTGCAAGATGCCTCTGCACAGCTGGGTATCCCAGCACATGCACTGGGCCCCACTTACCTGGCCTTCATAGGAGCGCGTGGTGGTGCTCATTGCTACAGCCTGGATCAGCAGTCCCAAAGTGAGTGGCAACAGGGCGCCTGTGGCCGCGACAGCCACTGTGAAGCTGTGAGCAGGCTAAGAAGCCAAGCTGCTGGCTCACTGGCCCTGTGTCCTGACCCAACTCCGTCCTCCCTGCGCCTGCCCCATGTGGCCCCGCCCACTTACTCTTCCTCCCTGAACTGGACTGTTGGTCCAGTACACCCAAGGGAAACCTCAGTCCACCACGCTATCCTCCTGCCTGTCCCTTTTCTACCTTGATTACCCCTCTCTGTGGCCCCGCTAGATTCTCAACTAGACAGTGCATCCAACTCGGCCTATCTCCCCGACACCACTCACCTTCAACATGTCCTTGACAGGTCCTTCCAAAGGGCTTTTCCCTCTAGCCCGGCCCACATCAGTCCAGCCCTCAGTTACCTCACCCCTTAGCTCTCCACCCCTCTCTCCCCACAACCCCTGCTGTTCCCACTGTAGGAACAATGAGAAGACTCTCCTTGAGACTGTATGGATATGCCATGGCCTTGTCCAAGGAAAATGGCATCTCGCTGGTGCTCACAAGGAAGATGGTGCACATCACCAGCAGGGCACCCAGGTACAGGCAAGGGGACATGAGCAGCAGCAGGAAGAGCTGGATGTTACTATGCCCCTCGCACTTGTTCACCCACCTACAGTGGTGGTCAAACTCCTAGCAGAGAGGACAAGCCTGGAGAGTCTATCTGGCATCCATACCCACCCACTCCCCCCCACCCCCCCACCCCCCCTCCCAATACTTGGGCCTTCCACAACACTGCCCTCTAGGCCACCTGCTCTACAAGAGGGTTCCATCTCAGGGACAACCTGGCACTTTCCATTGTTAGAGCACAGTTAGGACTCTATAGCTTTATCAGGTAATGTGCATGAGTGAGGTCTTTATAGACAAGACCTGCCTCGTGTCACTTGTAGGAGGATATAGAATAACTCTGGGTCTCTATTTTCTCAGATACTGGATAAAGATGAAAAGATTTCCCTGGCCCAGCCAGCTTTTTGCACTTGGAAACCTGTGCAGTGTGTATACATGAGAGAAGAGCACTCAGAATCCAGGAAACACTCCAACTTGGACACCCAGATGAAGACAGGCAAAGATCCCCAGAACAGGGCAGCAGCTGGACTAAGAGTTTGGGTATCTAGTATCAGCAAGTCAGGAGTGGGACAGGCGCTGCCTTTCCTCCCCCTGACTCTGCCCTTTGCATGTCAGCACCTGTGCAAACAGGGCCAGCCTCTCAGGTCAGGTGCAGAGAGGCAATAGCAGATTTAAGTGACCAAGAGGGGCTGGGAGCCACTTTTGACAGTCTGGGAAGATGGTCTCATGCCTACCCCTGGCCCACTTATACTTTGAGCCTCCTGGTCCTGGCCAGATGCCCTGTGATGGGTTGGTGAGTGGAGAGGGAGGAGGAGTACTCACCTCCTCACAGATGTTACAACATCCACAGTGGAAGGTCCTGGGTGGGCAGTGGAAGGAGCAATGGGGACACCAGGGCATTTGAAAGGCCCTTTGATATATCCAGGGCACATATGCTGCCTCAGGGAGCCTGGCATGGGAAAAAGTTTGGGCAGTGGTAAGAGGCCCTTCCATCATGGGGCTGCCCTGATCAGCATCACTGGGCAACAAGAAGGATGGGGAGGAGGTGGGTAGGGGAATCCTAGTCCTTGTAGAGTAAGATGACCACTCCAAAGGGCTGGCAGTCAAAGAAAAGGGGGTTTCCAGCCATAAGAGCTCTCTATAGAGCTCCCCCTTTGGAATAGTGATTAGTATTTGAAGTTATGTGTGAAATAGCAGGAGGAAAAATAAACCGTGTGGTTTGGAAGAGACTGCTGGCCCCTCTTGCCAGCTTGCCTGGTCCTCCCTTCTGAAGTAACTAGAAACCCTCCAGGATTCTGTTTCTTCTTGCCTCAGTGGCTGGAAAATGAAGTGCCAGGGCCTAAGTAATGATGACATGGAAAGAAGGGATTCTGAGCCATAGGTGGGGTTAGCACTTTAGAAATCACCCCTGTAGGCATCAGCCCTTGGGGTGCCACCTACTTCTCCCAGGGGTCTGAGGCCTTACCTTGATACAGGATGCCAGGATCAGAAAAGTTCAGGGAAACCAGGCTGCAGAAAGTGACCAGAAACAAGCAGCCAGTAACCATGGTAAAGCCCCGTTCCCCATTCAGGGTAAGCAATCTGCATCCAAAACCAGAGCCACACTCAGTTCAACTCTGGGGCAACATGGAGCTCCCCTGAGGCCTGGGTCACCTGAGGACAGACTTACAGACCTTAAGGAGAGATCAAAATTGGTGCAACCACTGTGGAAAGCAGTATGGAGATTTCTCAGAAAACTTGGAATGGAACCACCATTTGATCCAGCTATTCCACTCCTTGGTTTATACCCAAAGGATTTAAAAGCAGCATACTACAGTGATGCAGCCACATCAATATTCATAGCAGCTCAATTCACAAGAGCTAAACTATGAAACCAACCTATTTGGGAACATGGGATTTTCCCCTATCTGGTCTATCTGTTTTAAAGATTCCTACCTATCAGCTGTGACTTGAGAATTCCCTCTGATTGTCATGTTTTTGTTTTGTTTGTATCTGTTACTGCCTCTTTTAAGAAACGGGCCAAGGTACATTGATCTTACCAGAAGTCTCTTGAGCAGAGAGATATTGGCTGCATGGGTCTCTTACAGCCTCTCTATGAAAAAGAGGGTTTACTCTAATACAACCTGGCTTTTGAATGATTTTTTTTTCTGGACTACTGTACAATCTTAATGTTAAAATTGGTCTGTCAGGGTTAAAGTATATGAAACAGATTCTGTGTGTACAGGCATTTATGCGGTTTCATTATAAGGGGTATGAACCATGAGGAACAAATGTGAAGGTGCCAAAAGGCACTGCCTCTGATGTGCAAGGGTAGCAGGACACCAGAAGAAAGAGCTTAAAAAAGACTTAAATCCAGCGCTGGCACTCCCAGCACGGTTTTGCAGCCTGGCCCCAGGCAGCCACAGATCATCTCACTGTGGGTCAAGGACACTAGCCCTAAACTTGAAAAAAAATCCCAGAAAAGCTTTCTGGGCTGTAGAAAACTGGCCTCTGTTCTCCTGTCAGCCCCTCTTGTCCCTGAGGCTGCTGGCCACAAAGACTGTGGTAGTAGGTTCCAGCACTGTCAGTTTATGAGCTGGGGACAGGAATAATCTCCCCTTTTAAGATCTGACAGTACACCCAATTTGGCCAAGGGATATTCATCACTGGGGCAAAACAATTCTTGCTAAAACAGCATCCCATCAAACTAAATGCCTGGAAAAAATGGCAGAATAAATATCTGCACCCAGAAAAGGAAAAGACAGAAACTATGGCCAGCCTGTGTTTTGTAGGCAGCCTCTGTAAAGGGATCTTCAAGGAAGCCTGAAGAGAAAGATGGAAAAGACCTCATCCATTGCATATCAATATGCCTACTATTTTTTTTAAAGGCCCAAAAGGAGCCTCTGGATATAATTGATTGTGGGGAACTCACTTAAAGTTGATGACATTGCGATAATGATAACAGAGATAGGTCAAGCTCAAAAATATCCTGTGCTCCCACTGCTTGAATGCAACCTAGGAGACAAAAGATTAAGACACAGTTTCTCTATATGCTGAATTGTCCAACCCTCTCCTGGGATGAAATTTGTTGCGTAAATTAAATGCACAGAAAACATTCATAAGGGCTGTTTCAGAATATGAATTTAAGAAAGGGTCTAAAACTAGAAAAGATACAAGAAAGTTATAGGTATGGAAATATATTTTAGTATGGAAAATTAGAATGTAAAAAAGTGTTTCCAGAATTGAAAGTGTTTTGTCTGGTAAAGTCATATTCTTGTACTAAAGTCCAAGATGAAAGAGGACAAAACTAAGAATATAAAGAAGTTTTGAATGTTTAAGTAAGTCACAGAAACTTTGTGGAAGGTAAATCTCAAAAAGTTTGTGTTTGTGGTTAAATTGACTATAATTAGCACCGTCAGCTAAAGTTACTTGAATTTTAATGCACTGATAAAAAACAGAAATTGAAACATTGATATGCTCATATCTACCAAGATAATTTTCTTGTATTTGTTAGGTTTTATTACTTGGGGAAACTAAGTCTTAAAAGAATTAGGGTTTGTACGTGTTTTAAAATCTTAAGTGATTGCTTTGTAACTGGTTAAGCAAACAACTGTTATTTAGGTTATAACAATATAGTTGGCATCCTAAATATATGCAACTAGGTATGTGTCTGCATTTGAGAACTATATTTGTCTAAGCCTTGTCTAAGTGTTATACAAAAGTCTATAAAATGAAAGTTTATGAGCAAGATAACTAATAAGTGCTCTCTTTCATACATTATATCTGAAATGAAAGAGCCACACTGTCATTTGAAGACCTGTCTTATATCTGTTTGTCTTGACTCAGTTAATGTCTGACTATTAACAGTTTCCTAAATGCATAAGAGATTAAAGGCTCTCCTTTGATTATTTGTTAACCCATGCAGACCAGTGATTGTTGTTGCCGTACACTCTAGATTCTAAATTGTACTTTAAAAAAGTTAAACTTAGTTAAATGTAAAGCTTAGGATAGCACTTTGCCAAGTTGATGTTCTCCACACTAAAATTATCTAAAAGTCTTGAATTTGTATAGAAATAACAAATATGGCTTGTGTTTATTAATTTCAGTTGATTGTTTTATAACTGGATAAAGTAACCTGTTGTCAATAAGTTATATGTATAATTTTTTCTTACTCTTCACTCTGGAATTTGAATTTAAATGCATTTTGGGGAAGATAATGAAAGCCCAATCTGTTTAAAGATGACATTATAAAACATGGAAATGTTCTGCCACTTTTTCCATAAAAAGAAAGTTGAAAGCTCTCTTAGCCTTTCTTTGATTCATGTTTCAGATGTAATATTGTAATGTGTTATTTGTGAAGAGCCTACCTTACCTGAGATAAGGCTCTGCCTCTCACCTTACTCCATGTTAGAATGGTTCCAAAATAGGCTAGATTTCAGCTCATTTAAAGTTGTGTTCAAAAGACTGATTTTTGTTGTAAAGATTACTGTGATCTGCCAGGCCCAATGGCGCATGCCAGTAATCCCAGTGGCTTGGGAGGCTGAGGTAATTGGATCATGAGTTCAAAGCCTGCCTCAGCAAAAGCAAGGCACTAAGCAACTCAGTGAGACCCTGTCTCTAAATAAAGTACAAAATAGGGCTGGGTATGTGGTTCAGTGGTCGAGAGTGCTTGAGTTCAGTCCCCGGTAATACCCACCTCCAAAAAAAAAAAAAAAAAAGAAGTCAAGAAAGAGCCACAAATGTTCAAAATGAAAATTATTAACAGGGTGATTCACTTAAACTCAATCATATTAATAATTACACTAGATATAAATGTACTAAACACTCCTCAATGGGGAAAGTCTTTTTTAAAAATGTTGCTCGAGCAACTGGGTATTTGTGTGGAGAAATGAATTTCAAGCTCCTTCTCAACCAGAATTAAAATTTAATTTCAGATGGATCATAGACCTAAAGGTAAAAATTATAATCATAGCACTTCTAGAAGAAAATATAGAAGATTTCCCAGACTTGAGAGTAGGTAAAGTTTTCTAGGCTGGACACAAAAATAATGAAAGAAACATAAAAGAAAAAAAAAGTTGTAGGGATGTACAATGGTACAAACACTTTTGAAAACTGTTTGACATTTGGTAATACAGTTAAATACACATTTATCCACAGCCCAGTAATTCCATTGCTAGGTATTTACACAAGGGACATGATAACATAAGTCTACAAAACAACTGGAACAAAGACTTTCATAGCAATCTCATTCATAATACCCCCGAATTGGAAGCAGTCCAAATGGAATAATGAAGTGCTTGCTCATAAAATGAAATGAGAGCCAAGAATAAAAAATAAATAAACTTCTGATGTACAAAAGAAATAAATTATGTTAGATCAGAAAAGAAAGGCTTAAAAAAATAAATACATAGTGAATGAATACACTGGCATAAGATGTAAAAGAGAACTGTAGTGGTTGCTCTGCAGTGGGGTGAAGTTGAGTTAGGAATCGATTGGAAAGCAGCATTTGGAAACTTTTAGGGTGATGGAAATGTTCTGGCAGCCAGAAAGCAGAGAGATAGAGCTCCCTTTAGTTCAAAAATATCATTTATAATATCATCAAAAATGTAAAATACTTAGGAATAATTTGAAAAATGTGCAAGACAGTTATATTGAAATTTTATGAATATTGCTGAAAGATATTAAAGAAGTCCTGAATAAATAGATGATATTCATAAATTAGAAGATACAATAGTTTAAAAAAATCCTTTCCTCAGTTTTTACCTTTAATGCAATCCCAATCAAATGCCTAGAAGACTCTTTTGTAGAAATGTAAAAGCTGATTGCAAATTGTACACTAACTTGTAACATTCAAATCAACTCTGCAAACAAGAACAAAGTTAGAGGACCTATATTATCTGACTTCAAGATTTACTAGAAGCCAAAGTGATCAAGACAAGGTGGCACTGATATAAAGATAGACTTAAAAAGGTTATGGAACAGAATTAGAAAATTCAGAAAAAAAATATATGTATAGCCCATTTATTTTTTTCCTCATGCTCCTCTGCTTAGAATGCACTATGTGCTTCCAACCTCTGTCTTCTTAACTGCTGGTGGCCTTTCCAGACTCTGGTTCTAGGAGCAGCAGCAAAGTCCTCTTCATCATGTCCTCCATTCTGTTTTCAATCATCATTTAGAACTAAGGGGAGATCTCCTGACATTTCCCAATTGCTGGGCACCTACTGCCTGCTGGTTCCATTATGTTTACTGCTTCAGTGAAGCTTCATAAAACTTCTACAATGTGGACACTCTTAACCATCTCCTTGCCACTTCTAAATGAGGCTCAGAGAGAAGAGTAACCTCACTAGTGGGAGGTAGAGCTAGGAAGGGAACTGAGATCTGTAAGACTCCAAAGCTGATGCAAACATCCCTCTCAGAGCTACAGTTTCCAACTCCAAACCATTTAACTCTCAACTCCTGAACCTTTTTACCAAAGAACTCCAGCTTCTACACTTTCCTTTAGGATTAGGAATTCACTGTTTCCTGAAGCAGCCAGCTCTATCTCTGATTTTCTCTGATCCTTTGCTGAAATCTCTGTCCCTGACTCCTTTTATTGCTCTTCGTTCTGGCTTCCAGATCTTTCTAGTTAGGGCTGCTTTCTCTGCCCTTGGGACTTCTCTTCTCCAAGATAATAGCCTCAGCACCTTTAAATAATCAATTCACTTTTAGAAAAGAGTGACAATTACTTTTTCTCTTTTTCGATGAGGAAATGGAGATTCAGAAAAAGCAAAACACATTCCTGGTAAAGGAAACAGCCTGGGCAATGGCAGGTAGGCTGGGCAAGAGTCTGGAGCACCTGAGAAACAATGGGCAGGATGGAGAAGGCTGGTATGCTAGTTATGGGGCAGAGGTTGGGGAGCCCTGGGTTTGAAAACATGAATCTCCTGAAGATTCTGGGTCTTCCATCAAGACTTTGTAATACTAGCTATAGAGGCAACCCTGCCCTTTATCCTTCTGATTCATATCTAGCCCCCCTGGTGGGAGGTCACACTGGGGTTGGCATCTGTGGAAATACTGCTATCACCTACAAAGTCTGTGAAGTACTCAGGCTCACCAGCAGTGGAAAAGGAGAGCTGCACTTGACTAAGGGTCAGTCTGAACATGAGCATTTTCTCTGTTTCTGTCAGTAAAACTCCACTTCCATGAGCCCAAGACCCCAGCTCTGAAGCTTTCTCCAGTGATTGTAGTCTCAGCCTCCACTGAGAGTCTGAAGGAGGCCCCAGTCACCGACCTTAACTCCATCTAGATTCCATCTTGCCTCTCAGACTTGTTTTGTCACTTTATCGTGTCCTCTTCATCAAGTCTTCCACTCTGTTTTCAATCATCATTTAGAACTAGAGCTCCTGGAGAGGGGGATCTCAATTCAGGACAAGTGGGATCTTTGGCAGAGACATAGATTTATGTAGGAGAGCAGATATACATTCAAGGGCAGGCTATCTCAAGGGAGAAACATCTTTGGGGGTAAAATTAGAAATATACATTCAAGGGAGAATGGAGCTTATCTTGAGAGTGAGAAGCTTTGGGGATAAATCAAGGAATACACATTCAAGGGAGAATGTGGGCTATCTCTCAAGGTAGAGACAGCAACCCCGGTATGTGGTGCTAATGTGCATAGAGGGACAATAGTTAGGGGCTGGACTAGAGTGAACCCAGGGCAGAGCAATTTCAATTTCAATCCAGTTTTCCCCAGGCTTGTGCATTGGCTCCAAGTTCCTTTTTGCAAGCAAGGACGTGGGCCAAGGGCAGGAAATGGAGAGCCAGAAAAAACAAAACACATTCCTGGTAAAGAAAACAGCCTGGGCGATGGCAGGTAGGCTGGTGCTAAGGACAGGTACTGGGTTGCTCATCAATGTTTGTTTCATAAAGTTTCATAGGAATTTCCTGAATTCCAATGACTCAGAGGTACTTTTCTTTTTCTTTCTCTCTTTTTTATAGTAGATGGACACAATACCTTTATTTTATTTTCATGTGGTGCTGAGGATAGAACCCAGTGCCTCACATGTGCTAAGGTGAGTGCTCTACCAACTGAGCTACCATCCCAGCTCTCAGAGGAGCTTTTCTTTCCATACATTCTTTGTCTGTACCCTCAACTTTCTATTTCAGTTTTGTCTATTTTTTTCCTCCTTCTAAGTTCTTCTAAGCCATTTCCATCTTTTAATCACCTTAGATTTCAGGAATAACAGGTCTGGCAGAGAAAACTTGTGAAAAGAATCAACACTGTGCTTAAGGCAACAGCAACTTTCCTATGCCAAGAAGGTCCTGCCTGATCAGTTCTGAGAGAATGATGGAACAGGCCACACCTGAGCAAGATCACTTGGTTTGGCAAGTGTGAAAAAGCATCCAGCTATGCAAACCCCCAACTCTTGACCTTACTTTTCCTTCTATTAAACCTCAAGGTCATTGTCAGCCCCTGGAAGACAAGGCTAAGGGCACGGATCCCCTTGTGTATCTGGTGTTGCTACACTTATTACAGCTCCTTTCCTGTTTTTCACCATTACTTTCCCATTGGTTTTGGGGGAACAAGTGTCCAGACCTGATGTGTTTTGGGGGAACAAGTGTCCAGACTTAGCCTGGGGTGTTAAACCACAATGCAAAGAAAAGACCACCCATTCCAATTTTAAATCAAATTAAAGCAATCTTGTGATTCTGGCCAGGACTGTCTCTCTGGAAACCCTTGGGCCAGAAGAGCACAGCACCTCAGCTCTCTAGAATAGTTTTATAGCACAAAAAGTTGCAAAAGGGGGCTGTCTTGAGAACTTACAGATAAGAGGATTTTGACAAGCATAATACAAAGGCAGAGTGTAGGTTAATGATCTAAATGGTTCAACATTTCAAGTTAGGGAGTAAATTTAGATCCCAACACCAGAATTTATGAGGCACCGCTGAAGTTTCAGAGAAGGTTGTTATCTGGTCAGGGAAAGCCAGGCATGGGTGAGTTCAAGGCTCGGGCAGGCATTCCAAGCAAGTTTAGAAATCGCAGCAATTTATAATAAAACAGAAATTAACTTTTCATGACTTTGTGACGCGATGGCTCCCAATCTTAAGATGGAATTAGTCTGGGTTCATCAGGGGCGCTGGTAAAAAGTTCACCAAGAATCAAATCTGGACTCTGAGTGATAATGATGTGTCGGTGTGGGTTTTTCAGGTGTAATATGTGTTCCACTTTGGTGCAGGATGTTGATAACTATAAAGCAGAAAAGGGCGCGAGGCCAGGAACCACAGAACAAGGATAAGGCACCAAAAGGAGTTTTATTGGGAAGGTGGGGGCGCTCTGGGGCAAAAGAGTGAGGGCCAGGGAAATTGTGTGTGCTGGAGAGGAGAACAATACCTATATAGGTCACTAGAGGCAGGAGGGCTTAGGTCAACTAAATTGTTATTACTGTTAGCAGGTTGGCCTAGTGGAGTTTAGGGGCTGAGTTTAAGGGCCGGGTCTCTTCAGACAGGTGAAAAGTGTCACCATGGGAGGGGGTAGGGGAAGGAGAAGGGAAAGGACAATAATGAAAGAGGGAGTACTTATGTGTGTTGGGGGGAAGAGGCTTATGGGACATTTATGTTTATTCTGCTTAGTTTAGTTTAGAACCCTAAAACTGAAGCCATATTTAAAGATAGGTAGTTAGTGTAGCTAGGTAAATGGGATCTGATATCGAGCTTAATAGAGAAAAATGAAGTCTGATCTGTGTCCAGGAAATCAGAAACTAGACCTGGGAGATTGAAATGTTAATGTTCCCAAGACTCTGGCCATCTTAAAGAACTGTTAATTTAAAAATATAATAATAATAATAATAATAATAATAATAATAATAATAAAAAGAACTGTTAAATGAAGCAGATAGGGAGGCACTAATAATTTACCCTGGGCCCTTCCTGCCTGGATTACTCCCCACCCGACTCCGATGGGCCCACCTATTTTTCACCTTTTGGCCTTCCCACCGGCATCCTCTAGCACATGTAGGATAAAGGGAAATAAGTAAGCTAAAGGACAGAGATGGAGCAGAACAAAAGAAAACCTTAGGTATAAAAAGGACGAGACTTCCCCCATCCCAAGATTCCACCTTTGGGATCCCCTTCTTCCTGGGGCCCTGGGAGTCTTTTCTGCTATCCTTTAATAAAACTTTTTACTTTCCATTCCTCACTTGCCTTGACTTGCTTCTCTGGTATTATATTTCGGCATTTGGGGAAGCAAGGACTCGGCAAGGTAACTGGCGGTGAATGCCTATAATTCCAGTGACTTGGGAAGCTGAGACAGGAGGATAGCAAGTTTGAGGCCAATATTGGCAATTTTAGTGAGACTCCGGTTGAAAAGAAAAAATAAAATGTTGGAGATGTAGCTTAGTGGTAGAGTGGCCCTGGGTTCTATTCCCAGCATCACAAAAAAGGGCTGAGGATGTAGCTCTGTGGTGGAGTGCTTACCAAAGTAACATACACACAACTATTACCATAATACCAAAATTTCCTTAGTTTAAGAGACTACCCAGACTTAGTTTGGGTTGCTTAGTTGTAATTCTAAATTGGAATGTGGATGGACTGTGCCTACCCAGGTAGTCAGGTGAGCCAGGGTGATACAGCTGGCCGGTTATCGGTGATGAGTTCTGCTCTCTCAAGTGTTGAAGTATAACATTAGAGAAGCACGCTGAGGCGAGCATATAAAGCAGGGTTCATTTAAAAAGGGGTAACATAGACTTCTCCCAGGAGGGAGAAGGGAGCTGTAGCGGGTATCCTGGTGTCCCAAGAATTGAGGTGTTCTGCCATTTTTATATGTCCTAGGCTTCCTTTGTTCTCCTGCCCTCTTCCCCTTATTTCTCTCCTTCCTGTGTGACTAGGCCCAGGCGATGTCCAGTGGGATGGCCAAAAGGTGGGAAACAGGTGGGCTCAAGGGGTAAAGGCAGGATGGAGCAGCCCTGGACACATTAATTAAAAACTTTTACAACTCAGTGTAGGGAGGGGCAATTCTGGGACAGGTTACCTTAGGAACAGGTTGGAACCAGAGGCAGGTTATATTGATAAGAGTGGAGGAAGGGCTCTGAAGGAATTAACATTTCAGTCCCTCAGGGGGCAGTCTCCAACTTCCTGGACTCAACTCAAATTGGCCTCCTAGTTCTGACCTGACTCGATTTACCTATTTATACTGACTGCCTGTCTAATTCTGGCTTTCAAGGGTACTGTCTTCAGGGCTCTGGGGATCCTGGGGGAGGAAAGGGCACAGTCTTTGTGACTTGGCCGCATTGAGCTAAGATGGCCACTGTACTAACCATGTGGATGTTTCTAGAAAATGAGGTTGTTCATCAGACAAAAACAATAATTGCCCACTCTACTTGCTTTCAATCTAAGGCTGAGAAATATAAAATTTTATTTCTACATATAAAACGACTCTTATTTTTTCCGCTTTTTATTTTTTTTTTTTTAATTTTTTATTGTGGGTTGTTCAAAACATTACAAATTTCTTGACATATCATATTCCACACTTTGATTCTAGTGGGTTATGAACTCCCACCTTCACCCCATACACAGATTGCAGATTCACATCAGTTACACATCCATTGATTTACAAATTGCCATACTAGTGTCTGTTGTGCTCCGCTGCCTTTCCCATCATCCACCCTCCCCCCTCCCCACCTCTCCCCTCCCCTCCCCTCCTCTCTCTCTACCCCCTCCACTGTATAACCCTGAGGGTCTCCTTCCATTACCGTGCAATTTACCTTCTCTCTCCCTTTCCCTCCCACCTCTCATCCCTGTTAAATGTTAATCTTCTTCTCCTGTTCTTCGTCCCTACTCTGTTCTTAGTTACTTTCCTTATATCAAAGAAGACATTTGGCATTTGTTTTTTAGGGATTGGCTAGCTTCACTTAGCATAATCTGCTCTAATGCCATCCATTTCCCTGTAAATTCTATGATTTTGTCATTTTTTAATGCAGAGTAATACTCCATTGTGTATAAATGCCACATTTTTTTTATCCATTCGTCTATTGAAGGGCATCTAGGTTGGTTCCACAGTCTTGCTATTGTGAACTGTGCTGCTATGAACATCGATGTAGCAGTGTCCCTGTAGCATGCTCTTTTTAGGTCTTTAGGGAATAGACCAAGAAGGGGAATAGCTGGGTCAAATGGTGGC